TGACATTGTTAGTTACTTAATAGTGGATTAATATGCAATATTAATTTGAAATCATTTTTTCTATTTTTTATTTACCCACTACAAACTACCTCAAATTAATGAGGGTTGCTGTTGTCACCTCTCGTAGTTTAATGGTCAGATCATTGGTCCGTCAGGCCAAAGGTCCCGGGTTCGATTCCCGGCGGGGGTGTGACAACAGCATCAATTTTTCCCTCATTAATTTGAGGTGGTTTGTAGTGGGTAAATAAAAACTCGAAATAATGATTTCAAATTAATATTGAAGTGTTTTGTTGATGTCGTGCCTTGTAGTTGGTTGACTAAGTTTGAGTTTCTTAGCCATAAACCTTAGTGTTGGTGGATTCACTTCTCTCTAATTGTCCAACTTTTTCAAATTAATTATTTGGAAGAAAGTTGACAGTAGATATGTAATTCGTGTCCGTCTTTTGTCCTGAGTTCTACTCCTAGCAAAGGACTAAAATCAAAAGGACCTAAAACATTTTTGTCTTATTTAGGAGGCCATCAGCTAAAGACAACCAACTCAGAGGGTTAAATAAATAAAAAAGCAATTTTGATTATATTTACTTATCTCACTGTATCTTCTGAAATGGAAGAGATGTCCAAAACTTAGTTTAAGAAATTGAGATCTTTCACGAATGCACTACTGAAGAATTCGAAGTCCTTTTTTGCATCCTGTTTACCTCGTTTTTACAGCAGAATATTATGATGAACATTGAACATGAATGGGTAAGTATTCAGTGTACCCAAAAATAAAAAAAAAATAACGAGGTCGAGTAACAGGACGGTAATTAAGTGTGTTAACGTAGCTTAACGCCCTTTCGGAAACAATGAGTCGTTCGAAGGTAGTTAAGAAGAAATAGCAAGCAATAAAGTTCCGCTTTATTTTATTTTTGGTGTGATGGAACTTTTTATATGGTTCGAAATTTAACGGCGTAATTAATTGCATAAATCGATGAAAGTTAACACGTTCTTTTCGTTCTTTTACTTTGTTTATTTTGGTGTTTGGTATTCGATATTTTTTAAAGAACACGTACTTTATATCATTGAAACTTATTTTCTTCGCACAAATAACTTGATAAAGTTTAAATTGCCTTGGCGCTGCGTTAAATTGCTTTCATTATAATAAGAAATGGAGATGGGTTGGTATAGTCTGTGAGAATGGACATACTGTTTGTTTCAAGAAGTTAGAGATATGCCCCTTCCCTTTATTAGGATGCGCCGTAGCATAATTCCAAATTCAATTATATTTGCCTGCGGAGCTCATTTCTCCACCGATCATCGAGCGAGAACTAGACAAAAGTGTACAGTACCATTCGCAAAATTATTTAAACTGCCTCGTTAAAATTTAAGAATATGCTTTATTTAAAAGCATATTTAGCCGAAAATAATAACAAGTGAATTAACATAACGCTCTACACATCTATAAAACATTTGCTTTGTTTTCTATTGTCAATTTATTTATATTTTTGTTTTAAGAAATTGCTAAACATTTCTAGCCGATCTTCTAGGACCGCCCATCGAGAGCTCTGCTCGTTCAAGCTTGTTCCAACTATTTCTGTCTTGCTTACGCCTAGTGTGTATTCTTTCTATCTTCGCGCAGATTTCTTCAAGGTCACAATTCAATTGAAAAGAGATAACCGAATAGTAGTAAGTGGTGTAGCGCTCAGAGGTTGATTAGGTACCTACGTAAAAGATCAGGGTTGGCTTTATAACTAATTGGTTGGAATTATATCTTTGAACAAGCACTTTGCCCTCCTAAATTTCGTGAGAATGTTGAACTTTCTTTGAAGTCCGATACTGGCAACATGCTCAAATTTTGCTTGTCTGCATCTCTCTCTGTTACACATCAGTTGATGTAATGCTATTCCTTTTTCCTTATCAGTGTCCGCTGCAATTCCTACCTGACATCTCTTTACTATGTTTACGATATTCCCTAAAACGCCTGTCGTGTGTAAAAGTAGGCGTTGTGTCAGCAACTGCTCTAGTCTCGTTAGAAGTTGAATGAAGAAAAAAATGCGACAGGTTTATTGCGGACTATGCCAATTTCTAACGTCCCAACTATAGGACACCTTCTCAGGTGTGAAGGGTAGGTTAGAGATATTGGAAACAGAATCGAGAGTTATGGGGGACAGACGCAGACCTAGATTGGACTACTGTTTCGCAAATAGTTGGAGATGTTGCTCTTATTTTCGAGAAATGTAAAAACTGGTTCAAGATAGGAAGAAGGGGGCTAGATTGATGCCCAACCAGTCTTCCATCTGAAGATCTTGTGGTGATGATAATTATGATGATAATTTAACCGAGCAGCTTGCTCTAGAGGTTTATACTAGAGATAGGACGGGTACCCAGTTTGGCTCCGGTCGAGTACCAGATAATGACGCCGGGTACTCGGTTATCACTATCCGGCGCAGTCCTAGTTCAGACTATTGCTAACCATTTGGGAGTATGTACATCGGTTTGATTCCGGTTTTTCTGTGGTTTGCTTGGATCACGTAGGTAAATGTTGGGGTGGTCATATTCCACAGATAATCATTTACTCTTCTATGTCTTTATTTCGCCTGTCTCATCTTTTTCACCTCCATCACCATCCACCAATTTCCACGATTCCTAAAAGGATGGGCAAGAGGGCCTTTCGCCTACCCTTCGGCATGGTCCCGAGGAACTACGTGGTCAGTATTAGTAGCTAGTGGGAATGAAACACCTAAAAGTTTCTTAATTAGATATTCATTTTTTGGGACGTGTTGATAGTTATATTAAAATTCCTACATTATTTTTATCTTCCTTATCAGTAATAGGGACACCACAGGCAAATTGGTGCAAAAACGTGTAGTCCATGTTTGATATTTCAATGTTACTTACGAGGAAAATTACTCGTAAGTTTTGTGATTGTTTTGAGGGGATGCTTATTTACCCGGTTGTTATGTTAAGTATTGCATTGCGTGTAACTTAAAGTTGACAGTTCTCTATTAACCCCAACCAAATGCTTAATTAATCAGAAAACATCAACACTAGAAATAACTCAGCATATTTATTTTTTAGGTGACGATGCTTTAATGGTCCAAAGTCTACTAACAATAATTATCTGTATATGTTTAAACTCAATAAATATTTCAACCTACAACTGATTTGAGATAATCCACCACCAGTAGGAACGCATAAATTACAGGAATGTTTGTTAACGACGGGATAGATAGAGGAAAATTAATGTGGGAAATGTTGCCTGTCTTAAGTGTGTAGTTTGCATAGCAAAGCAATTCAATTTAATCTGACTCTGATATAAAATCCATAAAAAAAAACGTATGAGACGTAGTGTCGCCACACACCAATGAGTAAGACTTATGTGAAAACCAAATTGGACAAATAAATCCTATCAATTAAATTTATGTGAATACTTTGTGGTCTTTTTCTTCCTGAAATGGAAACTATGCGTATAATATTGAAGTGAATTTTTAAATAAATCAACAAAAAGTTGGAATGCGAATTATTTGACCCACATTGAAAGAAATTACTCTTAGGATTGAATCAAATTCCTGTGATACTGACTTGGTTTATTTGTATTATCAGAATTTATGGTTTACAGAAAATTTATTAGTTCCATTAAGTTAAAGTGTAGACACGATGTACTAAATTATCCTACATGGAAATTTTATAACTTTCGCTAACTTCCGTTTAAGCGGGAAGTAGGAGTTTGGAGTTATTTCAAAATAAATCAAACGCAACAATAAATATTTTAGACATACAGAAAGTGAAATGTCTATTTAAGACACTAGTAAGGCCTAAGAATGTCTTCACTGACCAAAGGTTTCTATTTGAAATACAAAAACATATTAGGAATGCGTCTCGGCAAAAATTTCTTCGGAACTATTCAACACAGATATTTGATCATCATCATCATCATAAGGTCGTTTGTCCTAAGACTGGTTGGACACGCACCTCCACTCTTTCCTATCCTGAGCTAATCTTCGCATTATCCTAAAACTAGAACAGTCCGCATCCTTAATAATTTGCGAACAGTAATCTAATATAGGTCTACCTCTACTCCTCCTAACTCCTGTTTCTGCCTCTAATATGTCTCTGACTAGACCTTCATGCCTAAGAAGGTGTCCTACCAACCTATCTCGCCTATTTCTTACTGACTTTCATTGAGTCCTCTGTTCTCCTATTCTTTCTAATACTTCTTTATTTCTAACCTTCTCTATCCACGGTATCCTCATCATTCGTCTGTAACACCACATTTCGAACGCTTCTAACCTTTTCTTTTCCGATGCGCTCACCGTCCATGTTTCTCACCCGTACCGCGTCCCAAACGTACACATTTAACAATATTTTTCGAATTTCTAAATAAACCGTTTGCGAGCACAGAAGTAACTCGACCCTGCTCTATATGATACTTGGCATTTTAATTCCACAGAAGACAGAAGAAATCATATTCAAGCATTTTGTTCATTACATTAGCAATTGAAAATGCAAAAATTTTTGAAGCTGAATCTTGAAAAGATTATTTCCAAGAAAATGTAGATTTATCAATTAGCTATTCTCATTTGTAAAAATATGACGAGGTGAATGAAGGTTTCAACAAAACAATGAGCTAAAAATTATCGTTCTATTAGGGATTCGTACCATATGACGCCTTGTAGGACATGTCGATATTCACGATAAACGTGGATCGCATCAAACATTCCTAAGCCCACGATTATTAGCAAATCTGTTAAGATAACGCTTACTTCACCGTCTTTGATTACTTAGAGAACTCTTTGAATCCAAATAAAATGCTCTGTCCTTCGAGTTTCTTTATAAACGTTTTACCCTGTATTTGAAGTACGAGTGTTGAGTCAAATTCCAAATTTTACTATTTGTTTTTCTTTTTTTAATTGTAGAAAAACGGATGCCTGTATGAGCACTTACGATGGGGCGAAGCTTTCGTTGTGGTGTATTCCGTCACCGACAGGCAAAGTTTTCACGAAGCACAGGAGTTATTAAGTCAACTTGCCAAATTGAAACTTCCTTCCTACTACACCAGCTTACTTCTTGGCAATAAAAGAGATTTGGATCACTGCAGGTAAGACACACGATTAGAAAAATGCTTTTCTGTACTTTTCCTGACAGATAACGCGGATTTTATATTATACTTAAAGTTACCTAAGAAATGTAACGCAATGTGACCCCTGTTTTCGATAATTTACTGTAAGTTCAAATTTGCTGTTGCCTTTTTGGTACATTAAGAAATATTTTCTGAAATTTTTGGACACACCGTTTTCTTCGCCAGGATGCGCTCTTCCTGTCTGATAAAACTCGTTTTACATCAACCTTAAAATAACGTAGAAAATGAACCTCAACGTGACGCTTGTTTTCGTTAATTAACTGTAAGTTCATATCTTGACGTGTCTTTTTGGCACATTAAGAAACATTTATTGAAATTTTTGGACAAACCGTTTGATTCGTCATGATGTGCTCTTCTTGCCTGATAATACCGATTTTATATTAATCTTACAATAACGTAAAAAATGCACCTCAAAGTGACGGCTGTTTTCGATAATTTACTGTATGTTCATACATCTTATGTCTTTTTGGCACATTAAGAAATATTTTCTGAAACGTTTAGGCACGCCGTTTTCTTCGCCAGAATGTGTTCTTCCTGTCTGACAAAACTCGTTTTACATCAACCTTAAAATAACGTAGAAAATGAACCTCAACGTGACGCTTGTTTTCGTTAATCAACTATAAGTTCATATTTTGACGTGTAATTTTGGCACATTAAGAAACGTTTATTGAAATTTTTGGCCACACCGTTTGATTCGTCAGGATATGCTCTTCCCGTCTGACAAAACTCATTTTACATCAACCTTAAAATAACGTAGACAATGCACCTTAAAATGACGTTTGTTTACGTTAATTGACTGTAAGTTTATTCATTGGCGTGTCATTTTGGCGCATTAAAAAATACTTTCTGAAATTGCTCGACACTGTCTTATTCTTATTTTAAAAATTTTGAATTTTTCATCAACACCGAATGCATATCGTTCGCGCTGAGACGGGGCATCCGCCTGTGAAAGAATTTTTCCGATAGGTCCTACCGTTTTCCAGCTACAGCTCGCAATACGTCAAACTTAGGAGCTGTGCGCTCGCGAACGTGGCCGCGGTTAAAAATCCATAGCTCGGCAGATGTACGTCCGATCCGTGCCAAACAGGGCTCGTTCGAAGCCCAATGGATGCGGCAAGTTCTCGGCGGAAGCAATTTTAAATTTTGACACTCCTGGTCCGCGTCAAAGCCGACCCAATTCGCGCAATTTGCTTTTAGTTCGTTTCAGTGTTTTCCTGAGGCCACACGATGGCCCGTACTTCCGGACTGAGTAGTCCGATCTCCATGGGAGTATCATCAAAATTTTCTTGAGATACTGTTCTTTGCGCCAAGAGTAAAAGCGCCCACCTATGAAGTTCCGTTTCGGAGTTATGACTGTCGGAAGTTTTAGCCAAGTGTTATCTTCGAAATCGAGAATTAAATTGTATATTAATTTTATGATAACGTAGAAAATGTACCTCAGTGTTACGCTTATTTTCTATTATTGATTGTATGTTCATATCTTGGCGTGTCATTTTGGCACATTAAGAAGGACTGCCTGGAATTTTGGACATACTAGTTTATTTGCCCAGATTTGCTCTTCACAACATGGAAAATGCACCGCTTTTGGATAATTGGTTGTGAATTCGTATTTTATGGTGTCATTTTGGCACATTCGGAAGTATTGTCTAAAAGTTTCGGGCATACCATTTTAGTTTTCAGAGTGTGCTTTTCTTAACGCTTGTTTTCGATAATTTGTGTTAAGCTCAAATTTTACCGTGCCTTTTTGAATAAGATCGTTTGTTGTAAGACTGATTGGATACCCACCTCCACTTTTTCCTATCCTGAGCTGGTCTTCGCATTTGTCTAAGACTAGAACATCCTATATCCTTAACTATTTGCGAGCAGTAATCTAATCTAGGTGTATATCTATTCCTAATTACTCTTATTTCTGTTTCTAATATGTCTTTAACCAGTCCTTCATGCCTGAAAGGGTGTCTTACGTGAGTAGTAAGTAATTAATTCAATAGCAATGCGCGAATTAAGTTTCGGGAATTTGAAACTTTGTTTTTAAAAACGTTTATTAAAAACTAGAAATTACAATCGACTTCCTTATTAGAAGGATGAAAAGTAACTTACTCTAAAAACTATTCTTTCTTTTCTCTACACATAAAAAATGAAAATACATAATACATATATAAAAAAAATGATGAGGCATTAGATTTAATGCAATACATAGAACATACGAGTAATATAATACTCAATGCTTAGCGTGTGAAATATAGGTGAATATAACTCGCGCATGTGTTGATGCTTAAATTATGTGGTCCACGAACTGAATGCCTACATTCAGGAAATTGTTAGGTAACAAGGCGCCTGATGATGATTTTTTCAGTACTTTTTAAACAATAAACGCTTAGCGCATTTCTAATTCCATTGCGGAAAATGTAAAGTTCACGTGTGGATAATTAACGTATTTTATCGTTGAGTTCCGAACTAAAAGTTCCGGGTTTATTACGTCCTTACAAAAGCTATTTTCTGCGACTCATTTCTATAGATAATTAGATGAAAGACAAAATAAATAAATAAAACTTTAAGCGAAATTTTGCTACTGATATATTGTACTCTACTTATTCAAACAGAACACAATTGAATTTGTATTTATTATTGTATTGTGTGTTATTTTGAAACGAACTAATACACACTTCGGTTCTGAGTACAATTCTTGTATAGTTTGTTGCAATACCATCAATCACAAGCAACTAAACAGTTGAATTTTGTGTCAAACTGTTAGATGATGACGCCTCCACTTGCAATAAAACAGTTCCTTTATATTGTAGCGAGCACGAGCGTGTTTGTGTGCGATCGGGCATACGTGTGTGTGAGCGGCTTATCGATTCGCCGACTAGCCGCGGGCGCCTTTCTTCTTGGGCGCCGTATCTGTAAACGTGTGTGTCGTACCTGCGTTACGGGAAAGCAATTAAACCGTTCGAATAAACCAAACTTTTCCGGACGGCTCGAGAATGTTCCCGAAAGCAGGCAAGGGAGTATAAAAAGGAAGAGACGATCGCCGATGAGGAGAGAAATAAATTGACCGCTGAAGAAGTGAAGGAGTAGAAATAAATTGACCGTTGCAGAAGTGAATCAAGAATAAATTGACAGTGATAGAAGTGAAATAAATAGAACAGTGAATAGTAACAGTAGTGTAAATAAATAGAATAATTACCTAAGTTAGTAATAACTTAATAGTGTTTTTAAGTCCTTTAATAATAATTAGTGTAAATAAATAGTTTTTGTTGTTGTGAGTCTTAAAAGTTAATTTGTTAAACCTACGAACATTACAATATTGTCCACCAAACACGGTGATATGTGGTGCTAGTTCTTACCAATGTAATGGCGAATGTATTCTTGAAGTTCGTCGAACATTTTCAAATTCATTCGGCAATAATTAAAAAATTTTGAAGGTTAATTTCTTAAATCTCCATCCAATTTTTGTGACTGCCCATTATAATCAGAGCACACAACGCAGCTAACTCAATAACCTCCATCTGACAGTTGCTTGTAGTTACATTCCACGTGAGCGCACACCTAATAACCAAACAGTTTCGTTGCATTTTAGTTTTAATACTTACCCAATGGTTCACTAATAAGAAAAATCAGATCCCTGTCCTGTTGAGATGTGATCAGCGTTAAGGTGAATGCGTTTAACTAGTAGGCGACTGTAGGACTGTTTCCAAACGAGCAAACTCCTAATAGAAATGATTTATGCCAATATCAAGTTTCTAATAATAAATAGATTTTCAAACTAACGGCGACTGTTTCCTGCTGTTGTTGATATGTTTCGACATCAATAGAAGATGTGTACGTGTATATGTGTGTGTTTCGTTGAGTATAATTTACGGTTAGAGCATTTTGCAAATAAGGAAAGTGATCCGGGAGACACTCCCTTACGAAATGTGCTTCATTTGGACGGATGACGAGGGAGGAAGAAAAAACGAAAGACTACGTCCGATCCGACAGCTATAAGTCTTAGTCGCTCCAATTATTACGACGTTTGCAACTAAACAGCAACATTCCACCGTATTCAAATGCATTACCGTTGCGTGACGGACATAAAAGCCAATAATTTTCCAGCGAGACGCTTAAATAAAGCTATTCATTTTATTGTAATGTTATACGTATCCTAGGGAACATAAGTGGGCACATTTATCGCTACTTTCGCATATGTATTAGAATGCATAATCTGCTTCAGATAAAAAAATTTTCGGGATTCCACTTCTCAAAAAGTAAAACCAAAAAGCCTGTTGCATGTTTCTACCTGCATTTCCGAATATCCTTGAAAATATTTAAATAAGTTGTACCCTGTAGTAACATTATTAAGAGGAAGTAAGCTGGAACGTATGTTCTGTAGCATACAAAATTAGTTCTGACATATTTTACCCTATTGGGCTGCAGTTGAAACGATGTAACGAACAGTTTATGTTGTATGTTCTATATTAATTACGAGCGACTTCGTTGATCCATATCCATTGCTAATTGATTTTGTATTTGTTAAACATCAAACTTTTGGATGTTTCACATCCACCAGTCCCCCCAAGTTCGCCACAGAATAGAGTGGATAGCACTTTTTAGGCTCCATTTAGGAAAGAAAGATGAGACGGACGACATGAAGACAGAAGAGAAGAGAATGATTATCTGCGGAATATTACTGCTCCAGCATTTGCCCAAGTGATCTACAGAACCTACAGAAGAACGTGGACCAGAGCAGATGGCCCTGGAATCGAACTGGCATCCCCCTCAATACTAAGGCAATGGCCGAAACTTTTTGACCATACCGCTCAGTTTGGATGCCTTAAAACAACTTTTTTATGTTCCTTTCCCACCAGGGTAGTAGACCCTATTCACCCTCCTTTTAGAGATGGTGAGAATACCCATTAGTGGTGATTTGGGGGTGACAGATGAGACGGACGAAATGAAGATAGAACTGGAATGAAACGTTGTTTGTGGAATATTACTGCCCAAGCATTTAGACAAGTGATCTACAGAAACTACAGAAGAACGTGGACCAGAGCAGATGGCCCTGGAATCGAACTGGCATCCCCTCAATACTAAAGCAATGGCCGAAACTTTTTGACCATCCCGCTCAGTTTGGATACCTTAAAACAACTTTTTTATGTTCCTTTCCCACCAGGGCAGTAGACCCTATTCACCCTCCTTTTAGAGATGGTGAGAATACCCATTAGTGGTGATTTGGGGGTGACAGATGAGACAGATGAAATGAAGATAGAACTGGAATGAAACGTTGTTTGTGGAATATTACTGCCTAAGCATTTGCCCAAGTGATCTACAGAATTTACAGAGGAACTTGGACTAGAGCAGATGGCCCTGGAGTCGAACCGGAATCCCCCTCAATACTAAGGCGATGGCCAAAACTTCTTGACCATGCCGCTCAGTTTGGATGCCTTAAAACAACTTTTTTATGTTCCTTTCCCATCAGGGCAGTAGATCCTATTCACACTCTTTTTAGAAATGATGAGAATACCCATTAGTGGTGATTTGGGAGTGACAGATGAGACGGACGAAATGAAGATAGAACTGGAATGAAACGTTATTTGTGGAACATTACTGCCTAAGCATTTACACAAGTGATCTAAGGAAACTACAGAGAAACTTAGATCAGAACAGATGAACCTATTAAAAACGGGGTCCTCCTCAATGCTAAGCAATGGTCAAAACGCTTAGCTATGCCTCTCAGTTAAAGAAAGCTTTTAGACTATACCATTGTTAGCTAGGAAGACCCTCTTCATTCTCCTTTTAGAAATCGTTGGAATGAGTGACTGGTGGTTGGGGAGATAAATATGAGACGGGGGAGAATAAAACGGGAGAGAAGAGAAAGATTTTTGGTGGAATATTACCACAGAAAACTTGGATCAGAGCGGGTCATCCTCGGGAGGACATTACGGTCTCGCTAAATTCCTTGAGGATGCCAACCACAATTGTTGGATAAAAGTCATATAAATCGGTGTTCTCACCGAAAGAGGAAAATCAATTCTGTACCACGGCCATCAAGCTACAATATGTAGTAGGTACTATCCACTTAACACCAGTCGTGAAAATAAAAATTCGACCAAACCATTTTAATCTAGGTAGTACCTAGGTACTTGGTACTTATAGTTCATTATTAGTGATTTCTATGGAAGTTGACTGTTTATTCGTCAGCCCTTTGTCAGTTTTACAAATAATTGTAATTTTACCTAAAAATCCAAAAAAGAAATATGTACGTATGTATTTTTGAGAAGCCGGGCGAATTTACCTCTCACCAAAGACATTTACACATACAAATGTAATTGCTAAATAGAGGCAACAACTTCCACATGTCACTTGCGGTTGTATGTCTGCACCTACTTCCGATTTAGCGTTGTCTGTGTCATGAGACTAGAGACTAGAAAATATTCAATCTTATCTAGTGACAAGTGCGCGAACATGGGTGATGCATGTTAATAATAAGCAGTGGTCGGTTCGGTTATTAATAATTCCTCTGATAAGCGGCTGTCTTGAAGAGAAAACTGTCCGAATCGTGGTCAGGGTCGGACTGGTCGATTGGGCGATCGGTCAGGTGGAATCCGATTGATTGGTCAGCCAGTTGTTGGGACTGGAAATTGATAACTTTTTTGACAATGAAATGAAATTAAAGGACTGCATCTGAGGAATGCTACGCTAATAATTGAAAAATGTTAAACAATTCCTTATACGGTTCTAATATATCGACCATTAATCATTCCAGCTATTACATAATAATACGGTAACATCTGAAAATGACAGCCGAATATTTTACCACAGTCTCAATTTTCTATTTTTAATAATGTGCTATTTAATCATGAGCATGTTTATCAAAGTCATTGGAGTAGAAGATCTAGGTAGTAATTTGGTAATAATTGAAAATGCTGTCCAATAATACGTTAATAATCGAAAATATTAAGCGGTTAATTGAAAAAATTGATAAATATGTATGTTAACAAACAGAAATAGTAATAAATTATTGCGATCCGCGTCTGGCAGTTTCGACAGAATACAGACCACTTCGAATTATTTTATTCGATTAAGCTAACGTTGAGGTTAGCTACGCCGGCATTCGTGTCAGCAAGTAGATATCCATATATTTAAATGGACCTTGTTGGAGCATACGTAATCCTAAAATGTAGCGTCGTACTACAGATGGCGTTTACCGCGCCATTTGTGGTATTTTTCAAAATAGTAATAATCGAATATATGAGGTAATAACTCATTAATAATTGAATATATTAACTTATAATCGGAAATATTGGACAATCAGTGGATAATAATTAAAATTATTGACCAATAATTTTTAACATTCAGTGTGGAGCACCCAAAGCGATTTTTTTTCCAATTCCGGCCCTGATCAATTTATATTGCTTAGTAATTTGTCTGTCTGCATGTGACACGACGACGTGTCTGCCTTCTCATTATGAATTGAACATTTTTTTAAGAGTTAATAATCCTATGTCGTTTTTAGACTTAAGTTTTTTCACTTGAGTTGTTATTTATTTCTGCCTACTCCTTGCAATAACCGATAGAACTTCTTTATAAAGATTATTTTGATAAGACCTCAAAACTGTTAATATTGGTCATTTTTGATTTCAAAATATTTTCCAGAATACCTTTCTTGCAGTTTTGTTATTGATCCTTCAACTATTAAATATGTTATATCATAATTAGAAAGTTCTAAAAAGGAAATTTGGAGCTTGACGATTGTCAGTTAGTTGACACTCCCAAAAGCGTGTGCCAAATTGTCACACAAATGTTTTGACTGCATTTAGACTCCTCGAGGTCCTCCCTTGAGGGCCAGACAAAACGTCCGCGACTTCGGTGATACACTTTTGTTTTCTATTCACGATATTGCGATGCATCTGGGTTGAAAATTTCATAATTAATGAGCTTTTTATCGACGAAATGAACGGTTAATTGGCATGCTAAAGAGCGAACCGTCATTTCACTTTTACTTATTACTTTGACAACATACCGTTATCGAACAACATGAGCACGATTTACTGATAACATTTAGACGTAGCTAATTACTAATTATATCCCGGTTTCTCGATTTATAAAGCGAACTACTTACCAACCAACCCAGGCTGCTACAGGTTTTTATGTACATGTGTACCTGTAGGTACTTCTAGAAGGAAGTGCAGTTTGTGCAGTGATTGAACTAATTTTAAACTAAATAAAAAGCAGAACATTCATTTCATTATTTTATTATTGATACTTAATTTTTAATTGCCTCACCATACATACAAACTTGTGGCTTCTTCAGAAGTTACAATAAACTTAAAATATACTAAGCATTTGGGGTTTGTATCAATTTGACAGTTATGGAGGAATTTACAGACTTGTATTTTTTGCCACTAATTGTTATAGTGGGATCAAGTAATAAACCATTAAGAATGGATTAAGATCTTGGTCAATAATTTATCGAAATTATCATCACGCAAAAGTGAATAAGTCCATTTTTAGGAATTTGGAGTTGTACATCTTTTCTGACTGAATGTGTTCAGTGGAATCAATAAAAATCCTTATTTTCAACCTAAAGTAGAGCGGTCCATTTGTAACTAGATTAGAAAGTATCTGAAATCCATCAAATGTAAAGAAATCCATATAGAATCTAAAATATAGACTTCCATAATTTATTGAAAAATCGTTACGATCATTTGGTTACTCGCTGATCCATCTAAACAGTTAAATTAAACATGCTACAGCAATTTCATAACTTAAAATTGATTTGCTGCAGAGTTTGGAGAAGGGTGGAGGGCGAATCAAGATTTACTTTGGTTCCAGGATTTTTTGGATATCTGATAATCCTATTGAAAATGCAGAAATGCAAGAAGATAATCATAGAACTTGTATTTATCTTGATGAAAACGGTGTCTTTTACATTTATTTGATATAAAACACAATAAAATTGTTATACTGTAAAGACAGAGTCCTTCCTTTGTTTTGTGTGAATATAGCACTATTAACATCTGGCAAGGAAGACTTAGGGATAGCTTTAAGTAAAATGGAAGCGGTCCTGACAAAACTGTACTGTATGAAAGGGAATAAAAAGTAGGGACAGAGCGAATATAAAGATAAAAGACGAAAAATTAGAGGAAGTGATTGATTTTAGGTATCTAGGATGTCAGATAAGTCAGGACGGAAGGAGTAGTAGGGATATAAAGCAGAGGATAACGAAGGGTCGTGTCGCCTTTAATAAAAAGAAATCACTTCTATGCTCGCGAACGGTTAATTTAGACATTCGAAAAAGATTGTTAAAGTTATATGTTTGGAGCACGGCGCTATACGGGTGCGAAACATGGATAGTAGGCGCGGCGGGAAAGAAAAGATTAGAAGCGTTCGAAATGTGGTGTTACAGGCGAATGGTGAGAATACCGTGGATAGAGAAGGTTAGAAATGTAGAGGTATTAGAAAGAATAGGAGAACAGAAGACTCTACGGAACTCAATAGGAAATAGTTTAGTAGAACACCTACTTGAGTAAGTAGGGCTAGAGATAGATCTAGATTAGATTACTGTTTACAAATAGTTTAGGATGTGGGTTGTTCTAGTTTTAGGGAAATGCGAAGATTAGCTCAGGATACGAAAAAATGGATCTCCTCTCTAATAGAAATCCCAAGTATGATAGTAAAACCTGCTAAGTTCTGAATGGACTTAATCACTTTTGGCTGGGTGCTCGTCATTTTACCCAATCAGCCACCAAACTGATTATACTGACTATAAATGTAATAAAAAATAAATCATTTGTAAGTAAAGCTTGTGTTTTTCTATTTAATCCATCTGTTTATAGGAAAATCTGCGTGGACGATGGCCAAGAAGTATCCCTTCAATACGGATGTCAATTTTACGAAGTTAGTGCCGCAGAAAACTTCGCCGGGGTGTCACTCGCCTTCCAATCTCTCCTACGGGAAGCACGTTCTGTTCAACTCTTGAAGGCACTTCCTATCAGGCGAAAACTGGGGGTGAACAGTGTCTCAAAAGTGCTGGGCAACATCTTTGGGAAAAATTCTAAAGGAGATAGGAAGAAACGGCCTTCACTTAGCATATAGTTACTAACATTATTTGTTGTTAAGTAAACCCTATGAACAGTTATTATTTTAAGCAATAAGAAAATGTATTATATTACTGACGATGTAGATAATATTACACGAAGAAAAGTTCCTTTAGATAGTCTTATTTGTGCCAACATCAAGGAAATCAAGTCTTTTTTGTCAAAAGCAGAATTATTTCGGATGCCAAAATTTACGCGGTCAGGGTGGAAATACAGGTACACCTACCAAGTAGTATATACTAATAATTCGTTAATCAGCTTGTAGATCAGGTTCAGTTAATGAAAAAATGTTAACTATCCAAATTTGGTTGTACCCGATCTTAGAGCCTTTTGCGTCTCATATTGCCATTTAAAACCAACATTTTTTTGGTTACGTGCCATATTCAATTGAAAAATGGAGATGATTGAATAATTTAAAAAACAAAACTATTTTGCAACTGTTATTTAAGAAAAAACACAATAATTAATTAGATAATAACTGCCTTTAGAATGAGAAACCTTAAAACATTTTAATTTTTTTATTTCTTTATTCAAACTTTTAGTCATTTAGTTTAGTAACTCTCCTATTGTTCCGTCCTGATAACAGTCCCATGTACCAATATGAATCCCGTAAACAGAACAATAACTATATATTACGATAAATCAAAAAACATTTTAAATAACATTGTAACAGTTGCCATTGTTTTGTATACTACATTTCGCATCCTCAACAGGTGAAAACAAGGACAAGAGGTATATTATTACCAATTACTTCTTGCCTTTCCCCATAAACTAATACAGTAACATACTCCCTTTTGTCCTATAATTGATCCGAATTGGTGCAAAACCTGTTGTACAAGTCTATTACAATAATTTTTCATGTTAAAAGATGCATATATGAATAAATGTTGTAAAACTCATATTGCGACAAGAAGACTGCAAATTAGTATGATAATTAACGCAGTGTATGCATTTTTGATTTCCTTTCTTTTTATATAAAATCAAACTTTGTTAACGTGCTTTAAAACTTTAGTGTAAATATATGGTAAATTTTTTACATAATAAATATATGTATCATATGTAAATACCTGATCTCGTAAGCATGNGTTTTTTATAAAGGATTTTTTTTTATTAATCTATACTGTATAAAATGTACTTTCAAACGACAAATAAACATCCATACTGTTTTACTTCCATTGCCAATAAGATCAAAGTTTTCCTTAAGCCTAAGCCTTGCAGTAATTGATTGAGGGAAGCCTCATGGATCAATTGTCAATTGTTTCTTTCGACGAATGATTTTTATTGAAAATAGCAGGTACATTAATAAAGAATATGCCATTTAAAAGAATGTATGGTTAATTTACTGATTTTAATAAAGGATGCAAATGTAAATAAAATATTTTGATTTATTTATTAATAATTATTATTTTGACTAGTTAGAAACCATAAAATTAGAGAAAAGGCGAAAGCTAATTTCCTTAAACATGTGTCATAATATAGATAGGTAATAATTTTTGTTTTTGAAGTACTTGAATTAGTTTTGATTTAAACGTAGATATTTTTATTTTTTCATATTTATATTCTGTAGTTCCCTTTTTATCTGTGTCACGTCTATAACTATGTTCACAACATACTATATCTCTGAACCCATCTATGGAATAATTTGGTTCATGTTTGGTTATTTCTATGTTTCATTTGGAGATTTGGATTTTGTTTATTGTGTCTATGGTGTATTGTTTTCATGTGTTCAAAATTTTGGTTTAGGCTTAGTGTTTAGGCATGTATAGAAGGCTATTTTGTTTTTCTTGTTGGATTTATTTAATTTAGTGCTGTTAATTTGTTTTCCTCACCCCCTTTGTAATGCAAGTAAGTAGGTTAGTTAGACGTCTGTCGAAGATACATGTACATTTTATATATTTATAAGTCTATGCACACGTTTACTTGTAATAAATACCTGTGTGACCTTCAGCATTCCTAGTTTTTTAGCACTTTGTAACATTCTCTACTGTAAAAACTAATCTATTTATCTTTTACCATTGTTACATGTAACAAAACATTTTGTAAGGACACTACTAAGACTTGGACACCGCATGTCAACTGGCAGTGGTCATAGGTCTGCATAGCAGGCCCCTTTCATCTGAGGATGTAGCAGTATTTGAAAGAAACGTGAAAGTGCCTTCCCTTCACACTTGGAGCAAGCAACATGTATCTTTCTCTAAAGGGAAGGATTTGCATGACAGAAATGCAATTCCTTGAATGCATTAGGAAGTAACACAATCAGAAAGGTAAGAGGAAACAACATTTAAAGTCAGTTAGATATTGATTTAAGGTAAAATGATCTATTGGTTTAAATATGTACAGAGGTATAAATTCTTTTACAATTTTATGCATTGCAACTGCAACCTAAGTATTGCAATAATACATTATGGAGCATTAAAATTTATTATAACAAACCAATAAATAATAATTGAAAAATGTATAGAAAACACGAGAACGTGAATTTTATGGTTTGTTTATTTCATGAACACAAAAGGATGACAGACTAGTTAATAACATTTAAGACTCAATTGTACGAGAACTTATTCTGATTCTGATTTTCATTTTGAGTTCTAGTCTCCACAAGACTGGACAAATAACTAGAATAAAGAGATGTGTAGGAGTTATTTGTAATTACTTTTAATCGTTAAAAAATTAGCAATATGTAGAGTTAACAAATTAACAGCTTTAAATAAAGCGATTTTAACATACAAAACTAATGTTCTTGAACTAAATAATTAGAAATTATAAATTTCTTAAACAAAATATTGCTTTTGTATTCAGTTTTAGGCCTTTAGTAGTATAAAAAATTAATTTTTATAATTTATTATGAATTTATGTACGTTATGCGCTTTTGAACACTTAAGAGTATTTAGAGTTGCCTAACCACATATTCGGTTTCTCTGAATTAATTTTTGTATTTTATGTGATTCTGTCCATCAGAGGTGACCTTTCATTTGTTCGACAGGTCTGGATTAAAAATTTTCGTAGGATTGCTACTAAATGGAATTAATATTTTTGAAGAAGGTTTAAATTAATTTTCCAATTTTGAATTATAACCTTTAGAGGCATTCACCTTGAATGGATTCCAGAAAAGATAAATAATAACTACACATATCCTGTATTCGTAATCAATCTTTTAAACTTACTTTCAATTAAAAATAGTATGTGATTGTGAATGACCTAAAATTAACTTCTTTTGTATGGTTACTCTCTAGCTCCTTTTTTGAATCTAGAACTTTGAAATTTGTAATAGTAACTTTTGGAGGTTTTTAATTCGCTCAGTTTTGAAAATTCAGTTGTTATTTTTTTAATATTTATTTTCAGTTAAATACTCAACAAAGATAAAGTCTTATTTGCATAATATTTTTAAATAAGTTTGGAAACGTAAAGTTAACCCAATGAAAATTATTAATGAAATTCTTTTTGAGTTTAATGGTAGGAATATTTTGCAGAGTCCTTACCTGTTGTGTGAGTTTTTATCGTTC